GGCGTGGGGGGCGGGCACCATGCGCTGCCCAAGGCCAGGTGCTGGGGTCCCAGCAGCGTGCAGTGGGCGTGGTCACGACCCTTGTCAAGCTCACACCCAGCACGGGCACTGGGCATCGCTGTGAATCAGGGTGGGGCCGGGGGGTGCGGGAAGGGCCACCACTGCTTCCTCTGGGCAGACTTCCTGGGGGGGCAGGGGCGGGGGCCCACAATGGGCGGTTACCACCAACTTTCTCATGGGGTTCTGGTGCGTCAACCAAGTCAGGCTGATGTTTTTCTACTAAAGCTACGCTCAAAAAATTTTCACTCTTTCTTAGTTTTCATAGATCACAAAAAAGACGAGCTTGTCGGGTTTTAATTTTCTAAGTGATTTCTTAACGTGCGAGTTTTATTCTTTGTTACGCCTACAGCACCTGATCTTCCCAGGTGGTCTCCCATCCAAGTACTAACCAGCCCCGACCCTGCTTAGCTTCCGAGCTCAGACGGGATGGGGCTTGTTCAGGGTGGCGCGGCCACAGACGATTTTTTTCTTTTTTAAAAAGTGTTCTTGTTTCGGTTAAGTTGACGCACAGCATTATGTGAGCTTGTGGTTTGACGCAGAGATCAGACATTCGTGGAACTTATGAGTCCCCCCTCCATGCATCTCGTTCCCACCGGGCGCCGTGCGGGTTGATTTGCTTTCAAAGAAGAGAAACATCGCTTTGCCTGAAGAGAGAGACTTGAAAAGTAGTTAAAGAAGAAATTCCAAACTGACCCCTGCTCAGCGCTGAATTCCATAGAACAGAGACAAGCAGGCGAAAGCCCGGAGCCGTCCCCCACCTAGCGTGGCGAGGGCTGCACCTGGGAGGGCCCTGGGCCTCTCCTCACTCTGCAGGGGTTTCACGGCAGGAAGGCAGGAAGGCAGCCACCGTGAGGCCACCGGCGCAGCTGCTCGGTGGCCGAGACCCGCGGGGGAAGGAAGCGCAGCGGCCGTGGGCGCCGCATCAGCGGGGAAATGAAACCAGCAGCCTGCGGTGGAGAAATGAAACGGACAGAAACAGATGGAACCAGCCGTTGACCCTTTTACAGCGAGCGCCTGGCCGGTGAGCCCTGCGGGCGACTTACAGCAGAGACGCCGCAGGGGCGGGCCTGTCCCCGCATGGCCCAGCCTCGCTGGGAGCTGCCTCGTCCCCAGGAGGCCCACGTCACCTCTCGGTGGGGGATGCTTGGTCCTCAGAGGGCTCGGTGACGGGTGCCATCACGACAGGCGGGGCGAGCCCCTCACCCCCGGGACGATCGCTCTTCGGTTCGTGAACATTTCCGTGGCGGCGCCCTAAGCCTCAACCGATCCCGGCCCCCGGGCCGGCACGTCCGGGGACGGGGGACAGCGTGCTGGACTCTAACCCGGTCGACACTGCGCCCCGCATGTGGGCCCCCTGCGCTTCCCCTGTGGGCTCGACCCCCCAGTCCTGAGACCCAGCCGTGCCACGCACGCCTGCCGAGGGCCCGTCGCGCCCCTGCTCATGCGGGGGACATGGCGTCTGGTGTCGTGCTGCCGTGTGGCCGACCTCCGTGACTTGACTGCTGTGTCCCCGGTGGTCACCGCCCGTGCCGGCCTCGTTTCCAATGCCTGGTCGTGTCCGGCTCGTGCCATGGCAAACACTGTCTCGACTGCTGTGCGTTCGCGTGGTGGGCCCCTGACCGCGCAGGGGGCGGGTCCCCGTGTGCAGGAGCATGAGAGGAGCACCAGGTCGCCCTTCACCGAGGCGTCCTTCACACG